TCTACAATGGAATGGTTCACAAATAAACATATCCAGGTGTTAGAATGGCCAAGTCAAAGTCCAGACCTGAATCCAATCGTGAATCTGTGGAAAGAACTGAAAACTGCTGTTCACAAACGCTCTCCATCCAATCTCACTGAGCTCGAGCTGTTTTGCAAGGCGGAATGGGCAAAAATTTCAGTCTCTTGATGTGCAAAACTGATAGAGACATACCCCAAGCGACTTACAGCTGTAATCGCAGCAAAAGGTGGCGCTACAAAGTATTAACTTAAGGGGGCTGAATAATTTTGCACGCCCAATTTTTCAGTTTTTTATTTGTTAAAAACGTTTGAAATATCCAATAAATTTCGTTCCACTTCATGATTGTGTCCCACTTGTTGTTGATTCTTCACAAAAAATTACAGTTTTATATCTTTATGCTTGAAGCCTGAAATGTGGCAAAAGGTCGCAAAGTTCAAGGGGGCCGAATACTTTCGCAAGGCACTGTATGACCAAGGAGATAAGCTCTGCTACAGCATCTGTTGCAGAAGTTATTCCTTTGATAGCAGCACTGAAGCGTCTGCTTGGAAAAGAGGTGGAAACCGATCACTGTGTAAAAACAGCTAAGAAACTTTACTGGAGGCTGTTAACAAGCGCTTTCAAGAGATTGAGTCCAACCCTCTCTACTGTGTTGCAACAATACTAGACCCGCGCTTTAAAGAACATTACTTTGACGAGGAGAAAAAGCAGCGTGTGCATGAAATGACGCAAAAAGAGCTGATGGAGGTTGAAACATCTGGTGAAGGAAGAGACTCGATGGGGAGCGCACAGCAAAGTGTGCCTGAGAAACGGTCACGTACAAGTGAGGAGGCGTACACTCCCCCACTTTCTGAGATGTTTGACAAAATTCTACAGGAAAGCGCCCCGATCCGCAGCGGTGAAACAAGCGCAGCCTTACAACAACTGGACACTTATCTAGGTGAACGACCCATTGCCAGAAGCGACAATCCACTCGACTGCTGGCGCTCCAGCAAAGAGCGCTTTCCATTACTTGCACGGGTTGCATGCAGGTATTTATCTGCCCCAAGCACCAGCACAGACAGTGAGACTCTTCATTGCAGCATCTCATGTGCTTAATGAGAAGAGGAACCGTCTCTCCAGCCAAAAAAGTGGAGCAACTTTTGTTCCTAAAGAAAAACCTGCCACGTTTGTTGAACTAAACAGCAGTCCAATTTTGCATAGTGCATAGTTGCATTAAAATT